CCCTGCAAAAACACTGAAAAGCACCAAATGTGCAGTATGACACAGAATGGCAGAAATTATTTTAGAAAGTAAAGCTGAATTTTGTTGAATATTGAATTTACAAATATTGGAGAAAAAAAAAAACATGGAATCAACTACTTTCGTGTTTTCAGCCTTTACAAACTTTTTTCTCTCGATTCTGCTCATCAGTTGTAGAAAGATGTTTCACCATGCTGAATGTATCTTCAACAACTTGCTCCTCTGTTCACTGTTTTGGAGCCATGCTGCATTTATTTATTGATCCATGTGTTGGATTTTCCTCTCAGTCTCCAATGTCTGCAAAATAAATTGATTTAGATGAAAAATCTGACAATGTCCTCTGTTCTTAGGGCTTCAACCTCTTATTAACTGTGTACTTTAATCATTTATTAATAAATGATAACATACTTTTCAAACCTGGAGAATAATTTTGAAGATAAATACCTGAATAAGCGTTTTTCAGATGTTCAAACTTGTCACATTTGGGAAATGCTTTTTAATGAAGGCTCAAAATGATTATAGTTATAAATTTATCTCCATTCATTTATGCATTAATTTGACCAGAATAGTATTTCATTGATGAATGGAGAAAGGTGTAAATAAGATAGATTATCAAGTTAATGGTCATGTCCCTGGCTCGTAGTTAAAAAGGTACCTTCAATGTATAACCTGTTATAAAAATTTTAAGAAACTAATGCTACACAGCATAATCAGTACATGTAGACTAATTTCAACATATATGATTAACTCAGTGTGCTTTTAGTGTCTTGTCTTCTGTTTTGCTGAATTAACCTCTTTTTACAGCAGCTTTACAGGAAAAATGGAACAGTGGTGCCATCAAGTGACAGTAAAAGTGTGTACGGTTTGTGAACTACTGAAGCTCTTAGAAATCCAATCTGAATCAGGGATAAAAATGAATTGAAATAATTTATATGAAGAGGAACCAGTTCAGAAATTAAATATTAAAGGCCTTGTATATCAGGACAGTTTTGAGTTCACAGTGACTCCTAAAACTCTGAATTTTTTATGATGAAATCATTGAAACGCATGTATTTTTGTCACAATAAACAATACTGCATTTTGGTTCTTCAGTAGTTTGAAAACAGGTCGTCTGGAAATATGACCAAATCTGCAGGGTCAAAAATC